TAGTAGGTTTTGTCAGTGTTAAGTGTAAGTTTATTGGCTGTCATCCAAGTCAGAATTTTGAGCAGCTCCTTGTTGACAATGGTGTTGAGGGTGGCAAGAATAGGGTGGGAGATGACGTAAGTCGTGTCGTCAGCAAAGAGAATGGGTTTCAGGTGTTGGGATACGTTTGGAAGATCATTAATGTAAATAAGGAAGAGCAGGGGACCAAGGACACTTCCCTGCGGAACTCCAGTATCAAGTGGCCGTGTTGATGAGGCTGTGTCTTTAATGGTGACATACTGATACCTATTAGTAAGGTAGGATTTGAAATATGCAAGTGCATGGCCTCTTATACCATAATGGTCAAGTTTGTGGAGTAGGATGCCGTGGTCTACTGTGTCAAATGCTTTTCTTAGGTCAATAAAAATTCCTAGCGGATATTCCTTATTTTCCAATGCTGTGTAAAGCAGATCTAGCATTTTTACAATTGCATCATTAGTGCTTTTATTTTTCCTGAATCCAAATTGGCAGGGGTTGAGTATGTTTTGTGCCGTTATAAATGAATATAGTCTCCTGTCCACAAGTTTCTCGAAGATTTTGGATAGCAATGGTAAGTTTGATATTGGCCTACAGTTGTTTACATCTGTAGGGTCACCACCTTCATGTATTGGTGTAACCCTTGCTGTCTTGAGTAGTGTCGGGAAAGTGCTAGTTTCTAGTGACTTGTTAAAAAGTAATGTAATAGCATGCGAAAGGACATGGGCTGCTCACTTGTACAATAATGGTGGGACGTGAGACAGATTCCTTGAGTTATTTTTGAGTGACTTTATAATCGCGGTGACTTCCGTGGGCTCAACTGGTACAAGACAGAGGGAATTTGGAAAATTCCCATCTAGGTAGTCCCCGGCACGGGCGCTGGTACGTGGGATTTTACTGGCGAGATCAGATCCTATGTTTGAGAAGAAGTCGTTTATCTTGTTAGCTGTATCAGTGGGATGCAGTGGTGTTTCATTAGGTTTGGTTAGGACAATATTCTTGGTTTTTTTTCAGTTTGTGGGTCCCCAGAATCTGGGAAAGTGTTTTCCAGGTCTTTTTTATTCTCCTCTTGTGTCAGTGAATCTGCTGGAGTAGTACAGTTGTTTGGCTTTCTTTATTAATTTGGTGAGAACTGATGAATATTGTTTAAGAATATCTTTGTGTATTAAGCCCTGTCTATATTGCTTTTCATATTGGTGTTTCTTATCAATGAATTTCAGAATGCTGCTGGTTAGCCATGGGCAACCGAGCCGTTTATTTGTAATCTGTTTCGTTTTTATAGGACAATGTTTGTTGTATAGAAAAATGTCTGTCAAATCATCAATACCAATGGCATTGGAGAATTCTGTAGGCCAATCAACAGTCTCTAGGTCTGCTGTGAAATTCCTTATTGAGGCCTCGTCATGGAGTCTAAATGAAACTTTGTTGTATTCGAGTGGTGGCTTACTAATGTTTGTTAAGAGGAAGGTAGGGTAGTGGTCTGTAGTGCTGTCTGTGATTATCCCTGATTTAACCCTTAAACGGTCCAAACGTATATATACGTTCACTCGCGTAGCGCCCCAAATTTTTTGAGAGAAAAGAAAACTTTTTTTTTAAAGGAAAAAAGAGCATATGGTACCCAGGCATCCCCAATTATTTTAATATGGCACACAGTGAGTGCGCACACCCATTCTCTCATGTCTAGGTGGCTCAGGCTTATTGTGGCAATGTTGAATGAATGACAAAGAAAACGTATATATACGTTTGGGGTGCTACGCGTGTGAACGTATATATACATGTGGTCTATTGTGGTTGCACTTGTCTCAGTCATCCTGGTTGGTTTAGTTATTGTTGGTATGAGAAGTGTGTTGTTCATATTGTTGATGAAATCAGTTACAGGCTGATCATCTGGTAGGCCAAGGTTGATACTGAAGTCTCCAGCTAAGAGAAGGTGGTGCTTGTTCATTTGTCTGTTATTAGTGCCTTTAGATTCTCACTGAAATTTGGGATGTTTGTGTGGGGTATCCGGTAAATGGTACCGATTGTTATAGGTGTCTTAAGGTTTTTTCCAGTAAAATTAGCAAAAATGTATTCCCCATATTCATTGCTAAAGCAAGTGGTTCTAATACAAGATAGTTGGTTAGAGTAATAGATTGCAATACCACCCCCAACTTGGTATGGTCTGCAGTTGTGGATTGCTGTGTATCCTGGTAGTGGGTAGATATCTAATGTGTCCTGCTTAAGCCAGGTCTCAGTAAGAATAATGCAGAAAAAGGGTGTCTTTAGCGACTCAAGGAGTGCCAGGAGGTCATCATAGTGTTTGCTTAAGGACCTGATGTTGTAGTTAAGAACTGATAGAATTTGAACAGTGTTTAGGATAGTGCTGGCTTGTGATGCTGTGTAATAAAGGCAGTTACTTTCCAATAAGTTTTGATTGTGTGTTTGATTATGGAGGTTTAGATCCGGGTCAACGTGATCATTCATCTTTTAGGTTTAAATAGTGGTTACGTATTAGTATTAGTACTATGGTGTTAAGACTAGAGGGACACTCTTAGTGAACGAGTAACAAAGGCAGACTGAGTCACGAACATATGAGCGGTCGTGCCTGGTACAGACGATTTCCGAGCACATGTACAAAAACGGGGAAAATTTTGCCCAAAAAAGTGGTCGAAAACTGAATTGTACGATAATCAGACTGGACAAAAATTGGGGTTCCACTGTATATGCATATACATTATGACAAGAGTACTCCTTGGATATTCAAGAAATATCGCAAAAAACAAGAATGATATTCAGAACACTGAACTGAAGGCTCAAGGATCCAAAATAAGAGGTTGTCATTGGTAGTGAGTCTTTTTGTTGAAAGCAGGAGCTTCTTAGCATCTCCAGGACAAAGGAAGCTCCCAAGGATAGTGCCAGTGATCTGATGAAGTCATGCAGCATTTTAGAGAAAAGTTATTGAGACCATTAAAATTAAGAGACTAAAATTAAATCCTCCCATAAAGAAATTCCATGACCCTTACCCTACTACAAAAAAAATCCATTACAAGGAAATTCCATGACCCCCTTTTTTAAACACATGAGCCATCTCCTACCAAGTTAAGGAGCCCTATTATTATTACAGTATTTTTTTAACACACCCAATGTTTCCCACTGAGGTAAGGATGAACAGGAAAAGAAGAAATATTTTCACCATCATTCACTGTCCTGCCAGAGGTGTGCAGATACTACAGTTCAAATGCCCCTCCAAACAGCAAATACTCTCACCCCTCCTTCAGAGTGCAGGCACTGTACTTCTCACCTCCAGGATTCAAGTCTGGATAACCAATTTCCCTGAATCCCTTCACATAATATTACCTTGCCACACTCCAACAGCTCATAAAGTCCCAAAACCCATTTGCCTCTACTCCTATCTAATACACACATGCCTGCTGGATGTCCTAGCACACAAAACCTCCTTTCCCCACCTCCCTCCAACCTTTCCCAGGGCAACCCCTACCCCTACCTTCCATCCACTAGATTTATACACCCTCACCAAGTCTTCACATTTTGCTCCATCCTCTCTAAATATCCAAACCACCTCAACAGCCCCTCCTCAGCCCCCTGGATAATACTTTTAGTAACCCCACATCTCCTCCTAATCTCCAAGCTACTAATTCTCTGAATAAAATGTACACCCTACATTGCCCTCAAACACAACATCTCCACTGCCTACAGCCTCCTTCTCACTGTAACATTCATAACCCATGCTTCACACCCATATAAGAGTGTTGGTACCACTATACTCTCATACATTCCACTTTTTTGCCTCCTTGGATAATGTTCTTCGTCTCTACAGATGCCTCAGTGCACCACCAACCTTTTTCCACTCATCAATTCTATGGTTCACCACATCTTTCATAGCCCCATCTGTCAACAAGAGACAGTGATGAGCAATATTCACTGGTGAAGCATCAATTTATATGGTGCTGCATGCAATCTGGTAGTGTGTCCATTGCTATACCGAGCGGATGAAGTACACACCGGGACCTAACACTGGCAACAAACAATGACAGTGACCATCACTTTCTCTCCTCCTAAAGTACCAATGACAGTGACAATTGAGTTGCATCAACTGGGATGGGTAATTGACCATTTGCAATGGCACTACATCACTACATGTGGCAGAAGGTGGTGACACAAGGTGCATGGCACCAAAACCAGCCCAGGCTGAGAGTCATGGCCCACATTCAACACCCAAACAAATTCACGGCCACCTCCACTAACACAACAATCACAACCAACTTCTAATATCCAGTACCCACCATCAGACTGCATCTGGAACTGGCAGAAAAATGCAAATTTTGTGCCCAATCCCCATCAACTTGATAACACTCACAGTGGAATCCTGCCTAACTGTACCCTTGGGAACAATGCCTGTAAATGTCAATTCTTTGACCATGGTTGCCCAGCAATTTAATGCAAGGAAGAATATTTGGTGGCCTTGATTATTGGAATTATGCAAATTTAAAAAACACGAGATTTCATTAAGAACCCTTCATTTTATATTTTACTGTATGGTCATTAAACCTTATTTTTAAAACTTACAAAAAATCAGAACACTGAAAATTAAAATCTATGAAGACCAGAAATATTGTACAGAGAATATCTAAAAAATATATAAAAAAAAAATGAGTAGACTAGAAAGCTATTTCACAGGTACTGTACTGTCCTGTAAACTGAAATGATACTGACAAGCACACTGCTGAAAGTATTGAAGATAATGTATAACCAAAGACAGGAGGATGAGAAGACTAAACAGGTTAAAGAATATAAAGTACCAATTTTCAAAGAGGAGTAAGTAAATATATCACAACAGATGAAAAGATCAAATCTGTACACAAAAATGAAAGCAGAAGGATACCAGAAAAAGCTGGATATCAAAGCTAAAGCTAGGATTTTGCAGGGAATCTACTTGAAGCTATCCAGTAATCTAACACATGAATAGCACTATGCATTCTACTTACCTCAGAAGCAATGGAATTGTTCCCACACTATGAGTGGCCATGTCCAGGATTCTAAATAAAATAGTATTCGGCAGTTTCCATGCCCACGGTGACTGTGGTTCACCATTCACTTCACTTAATACTGGACCCCACTCAACAAATTCTGTTACTTTTTTCCGTTTTCTTCCCTCCCCTGAAGATATGAAATTATCACTGTCACTGCCCTGGGAACTTTTTCTTTTTCCAGGTCCCTTTTTACTTGGACTAGAATTAACACTTGAAGTTCGATTTGCTGTGGGTACATCTGCAACAGTACGTGAGTTGTTGTCTTTATTTACAGGATGAGTCATTTTAATTTTCATTATTATGCCACTCACTTCCGAGTCTTGAGATATTTCACTCTGGTAATGCATCTTCCCAGACTGTTTACGTTTACGAGGTTTACGCTGCACATTTGGGTCCTTGTTTCTTTTTGCTTTCACTTTTGTTGCACCACTGTATCTATTTTTCACACTTCCATCAACCATCAAATCATTTTCATTTCTTGGTTGTGGATCATTAGCATGTCTTCTGTGGTCCTCACAAAGAATACAGGAACAATCATCACGACGTTCACTTTCTCTGGTGCCACTTAGATGAGTGTGTCTGTTGCCTGCATTGACAGTGATGTCCATTTTCTCAACATACATTTCATCTTTTATGCCATCCACATATACTGCTGGACTACGTGGTGGCTGCTGATCTGGAGAGATTGGTTGATCTGATGGAACGGATTGATCAGGAGTAATTGGTTGATCAGGAGTTATGGGCTGGTCCGGTGTCATTGGAGTGACTGGCTGGTGGTCAGATGATGGGGTAATGGGTTTCATCCCAACATCTTCTTGAGTATTATACTGGTATGGAGTTGATCCCGCCGAAGGAATGGATGACGGTGTGGACCCAGCAGATGGGATGGAAGATGGTGTTGATCCTGCAGAAGCTGTTGTTAATACGCTTGGAGGTGAGCTCATATTATCATCAGGTCCTGACATGGGACTAAAGCCTTTAGGGTCCATGTCCATCGCTGCCATTCTAGAATCTAATCCAAGGCTCTCTGTAGGCATTTTAGTTTGTGTTTCTAGAAATTATTACAAAAAAATGTGGTAACTGCCACTTATTTCTCAAAGAAATTTTTAACAGAGCACAACTAATGTGGCTCAAACAAGAATTAAACTATGAAAACCCAGAAGCTCTGGAGTCACCAGTAGCTTCTCATAACCTTAAACCCAGTGGCACAAGACCATAATAATAATGGTCTACACCAGACCATATTGTCTGTATTCTGGGAGTAACAGTGGTGGCAGAAAAGGCATTGAGAATTTAGACGACACTAGCACTGGCAAACTTCCATCGAGGTGACGTGCCTTCTTCACTTAATGTTGCTGCAATGATGAAGCATCCTCAGTATAATGTTCTGAAAATATCAATGTAACAATCAAAAAAAACAGGTACAGTATGTGGCATTCATTATCACAAGTCATTATAAAATAATAAAGTTTGTCTGATCTTGTGCATCATTATTTCATGAAACACAAAACTATTACTACTGTACTACATTTTGAATATTAACACAAAATTCAAGACAAAAAAATGTCTGTAAATGAATGGCTATGGGCCTATAAATGGCAGTAAAAAGACACTTCCAGCAACAAAACCTTTATTAATCTGACATGTCACCTACTGGGGGCAGAATACATAAAAAAAAGTGGTATACAGTTTGCTGTCACTTGACTCAAACAACTGTGCCCAACATTTTGTCAGTCATACACTTTATTTCTATTCAATATATACCTGTGACTGGTTTCAAGTCTCTTCCTACTCCTTCAGACATTCCTGGGGCCAGGTTTTTTCTGTTGTTCATACCCACAGGGTGTAATAAATCTAATCAAAATTGATACGAGTTTTATGCCATATAGATGTCTCCTTTATAGTATACTGTGTATACAAATGTAATGTCATTATTAATTAGTACAGACATAAGTCTACATGTATGAAAATACAGACAATTTATTTGCCTTGACACCCTATTCTTTTGAAGGCTATATTCACTGAGAGATGTATGTCTCTAAGTGCATGTACACTGAGAATTTACTTCAATACCTATTTTAGAGATTAAAATATTCTTGACTAATGATGAACAGGTCATGCATAGCCTTTATAACCTTCATCTAGTCAACAGGCCTTAAACACAACTAATCAACCAACTATCCTCATTACTTGCTCTATGTAACATAAAGTTTTAATGTAACATACTTATGCATGAGGCCAGATACAGATATGTAAAAATAGTTATTGGAAACATGTTAGCTCAAGAGATAGATACCACTAGAGTGAAAATACATTGGATTTGATCTTCATGAACAACGAAAAACTAATCAAATACCTAACAATGACCAAACAACAAATTGTAAGGCTGGAAAACTTCAGCAATGGTATACAAAAAGGGATGTACAGTAAATTTAACATCAACAATCAGAACTGATTGGGAAAAAAAAATATCAGACATCAGACAAACCCTGGGAAATAGCCATGAGCACCCTAAACCTTCACCAGTGCTTGGAAAAACTGAATACAGATACCTACAAGGTGTGTGTAAAATTTATACCCCTGAGAGAGCCTAAAATATTAAAAACAGAAAGAAAGCACAGAAGAAAGTACAAAAAAAACTTACTGAACTGCTCTGAAATGCAAATACATCACAACAAAGGAAAGATAACCTTTGCCGAGATATTACAAAGTTAGAACCGAAACTGAAGTTTTCATGTCAGATGGAAGAAGCAAACAGGGAAACAAAAAGCTGTTCAGGATATTGCTAAAAAAAAAAAAATATTATTTCTACACATATGCAAAATCCTAGTTAAGAACTACATGTAGAACTGGACCACTAATTACAAAAAGTTCATGAACATATGATGAAAATTAAAAAAGTGAAATTCTACAAGATCAATATGAATAAATGTTCATTAATGTTATTACATGAAAACAGGGTGGAGGATACAAAAAAAGTCTGTTACCCTTGAAGACCTTATACAGTGGACCCTTGCCTAACGAACGCATCGCATAACATTAAATCCGCCTAGCAATACATTTTAACGCAAAAATTTTGCCTCGGCTAGCACTAAAAAAATCGCTCAACGAGATTCGTTCGAGATGCATCCACGTGCGGCCTGAGCCCGCCTCACTTGTTCCATGGGTGCCAGTGTTTACAAGCCAGCCACCGCGGTCGCTTCCAAGCATACAATCGGAACATTTATTATTATCACAGCCTTTGTAGCGATTGCACCTGCAAAATAAGTCACCATGGGCCCCAGGAAAGCTTCTAGTGCCAACCCTACAGCAAAAAGAGTGAGAATTACTATGGATATGAAAAAAGAAGTACAATGCCTGCACTTTAAAGGAGGGGTTTGGGATATTGGCAGTTTGGAGGGATATGTTGTGTATCTCTATACGTATATGCTTCTAAACTGTTGTATTCTGAGCACCTCTGCAAAAGCAGTGATAATGTGTGTGTGTGGTGAAAGTGTTGAATGATGATGAAAGTATTTTCTTTTTGGGGATTTTCTTTCTTTTTTTTTGGGGTCACCCTGCCTCGGTGGGAGACGACCGACTTGTTGAAAAAAAAAAAAAAAAAAAAAATGAAGAAAGAGATCATTGCTAAGTATGAAAGTGGAGTGTGTGTCTCCGAGCTGGCCAGGTTGTACACAAAACCCCAATCAACCATCGCTACTATTGTGGCCAAGAAAACGGCAATCAAGGAAGCTGTTTTTGCCAAAGGTGCAACTTTGTTTTTGAAACAGAGATCGCAAGTGATAGAAAATGTTGAGAGACTGTTATTGGTGTGGATAAACGAAAAATAGATAGCAGGAGATGGCATCTCTCAAGTGATCATATGTGAAAAGGCTAGGAAGTTGCATGACGATTTAATTAGAAAAATGCCTGCAACTAGTGATGATGTGAGTGAATGTAAGGCCAGCAAAGGTTGGTTTGAGAGATTTAAGAATCGTAGTGGCATACACAGTGTGATAAGGCATGGTGAGGCTGCCAGTTCGGACCACAAAGCGGCTGAAAAATACGTGCAGGAATTCAAGGAGTACATAGACAGTGAAGGACTGAAACCTGAACAAGTGTTTAATTGTGACGAAACAGACCTGTTTTGGAAGAAAATGCCAAGCAGGACCTACATTACTCAGGATGAAAAGGCACTCCCAGGACATAAGCCTATGAAAGACAGGCTTACTCTGTTGACGTGTGCCAATGCTAGTGGTGATTGCAAAGTGAAGCCTTTATTGGTGTATCACTCTGAAACTCCCAGAGTGTCCAGGAAAAACAATGTCCTCAAGGCTAATTTGTGTGTGCTGTGGAGGGCATGGGTCACTAGGGACTTTTTCTATGACTGGTTACACCATGCATTTGCCCCCATTGTGAAAAATTACCTAATTGAAAAGAAATTAGACCTTAAGTGCCTCCTGGTATTAGACAATGCTCCTGGTCATCCTTCAGACGTGGCAGAGCGACTTTCTGCGGAAATGAGCTTTATTAAGGTCAAGTTTTTGCCTCCTAATACCACTCCTCTCCTGCAGCCCATGGACCAGCAGGTCATTTCCAACTTCAAGAAACTGTACACAAAAGCTGTTTGAAAGGTGCTTTGTAGTGACCTCAGAAACTCAATTAACTCTAAGAGAGTTTTGGAGAGATCACCTTAGCATCCTCAATTGTGTAAACATTATAGGTAAGGCTTGGGAGGAAGTGACTAAGAGGACCTTGAACTCTGCTTGGAAGAAACTGTCACCCTCACACAGCTATTGCAAGCCGTGCTGGTGACTATTACACTGACAATGTTGTGAAACACTTTAGGAATGTCATAAGGAACGGGAGGTACAGGCCTCTATGGACAGATATGTTGTGTGACAGAGGTCCAGTGACTCTCAAGCTGGTCCTAGTGGCATTAAAAGAAGAAGGGAAGTAACCCTGGAAAAGGACTTGCCACCTCAAGTCCTAATGGAAGGGGATTCCCCTTCTAAACACTAGCACCATCAACACTCTCCCCTCCTCCCATCCCATCAATCATGACCAGATCTTCAATAAAGGTAAGTGTCATGTAACTGTGCATGTCTTCTTCAGTTTGTGTGTATTAAAATTAATATTTCATGTGGTAAAAATTTTTTTTTGTTCATACTTTAGGGTGTCAGGAACGGATTAATTTGATTTCCATTATTTCTCATGGGGAAAATTAATTCACCTAACGATAATTTCGCCTAATGTTGAGTTCTCAGGAACGGATTAATAGCGTTAGGCGAGGGTCCACTGTAATTATTTTTCTGTTTCCCCTGAAGATCACACAGATCAGATAACTGACATAAGTACAAAAGAATAAATCCTGAAGAATATGAAAAAGAAATAGAAAACATACCCACTCATGCAGCACCTGGAATGAATTCATAAGTTCCTTATTTATAAAGAAGTGCAAAATACCACTAGCATAAACATTTAGTATTTTTTGAAGAAAAAGCTTAGATCTCAGCAAAATCCCAAAGGCCTTAAATTTAGAGTGCAGACATTGCTCCTTTGCACAAAGGAGGTAGTAGAACACTAGTCAAAAATTACACACCAATGGAACAGCATAACCTACACAACCCAAACCAGCATGGATCAACAGCAAGAAGATCATGCCTGTCACAGCTACTAAACCACTATGACAGAATTATGAGAGTGCTGGAAGAAAATCAAAGTGAAGACTTGGTATAAACAGATTTTGCAAAGGCATTTAACAAATGCAGTCATGGAGTGACTGCACATTAATTGAAGGCAACAGGCATAGTAGGAAGAGTAAGCAAATGGATTTTAAATTTTCTTACATACAAAACACCAAGAGCAGTAGTAAACGAAGCAAAATCCAGCATTACTAAACTAAAATCTTCGGTACCTCGGGGCACAGTCCTGGTGTCTTTACGGTTTCTTATCCTCACAGAAGACAGATTAAAATGCTTGCAACAATTTTATATCATTTTCAGATAACACCAAAAGAAGCATAAAAATCACCCCAGACACGGAAAAATTGCAAGATATAAGCAAAGTTTTCCAGAAGGCAGTGAAGAATAGCATGACATTCAATAGTGACGAGTTCCAACTTCTTAGAAATGGAAAGAAAGAAGAATTCAAGAGATACACCCTACACATAATGCAAGATCATCAAATGAAATGAAAAGGCCATGTGAAAGATCTGCATGTAATAATGTCAGTTGACCTTTCTTTTAAAGAGCACAATAAGGCAAATATCTCAAAAACCAGGAATATAAAAGGGTGGATAATGAGAACTTTCAAAGCAATCTGTTGCTTAGAGTACTGTTCAATGATAACAGTTCCTTTCAGGGCAGGAGAAATATCAGAGCTGAAGTAAATATAGAGATCATTTAT